ATTAAAAAATGCAAAAAGGATATGAACAGACACTTCCCCAAAGAAGACATTTAGGCAGCTAACAGTCACATGAGGAAATGCTCGCCATCATTAGCCATTAGAGAAATGCAAATCACAGCTACAATGAGATGCCATCTTACCCCAATATTACTGGCATGAATTAAAAAAACCATAAAATAACAAATGTTGGAGAGGTTGCAGGGAGACTGGAACTCTTATGCACTGCTGGTGGGAATGTAAAACGGTGAAATCACTATGGGAAATGATACAACACTTCCTTAAAAAGCTAGAAATAGAAATACCATGTGGTTCAACAATCCCACTCCTAGGAACATATCCTAGAGAAATAAGAGCCATCACACTAATAGACATATACACACCGTGTTCACTGCAGCATTATTCACAATAGCAAAGATAGAAACAATCTAAGTGTCAATTAACAAATGAATGGATAAAAATTATGGTACATACACACAATGGAGTACTACACAAGATATATAACAATGATGAATCCACAAAACATCTCATAACATGGGTGAATCTGGAGGACATTTTGCTGAGTGAAATAAGTCAATCACAAAAAGACAAATATTGTATGAGACCACTATTATAAAAACCCAAGAAAAAGTTTACACACAGAAAAAAAATCTTTGATGGTTACAAGGGAGGGGAAGAGTGGGGAGGGCAAATCACTAACTAGATAGTAGACAAGTGTTAACTTTGGTGAAGGGAAAGACAACACACAATATAGGGAAAGTTAGCATAACTTGTTCAAGGCAAAGCCATAAAAGACACATCCAAACACCCTGAAGGACCGAGGGCTGGGGACCATGGTCTCAGGGGACATCTAGGTCAACTGACATAACAGAGGTCATTTTTAAAAAAAAGTTCTACATCCTAGTTTGGTGAGTAGAGTCTGGTGTCTTAAAAGCTTGCGAGTGGCCTTCTAAGATACCTGTATAGGTCCCATTATGATAGGAGCAAAGGAAAGTGAAGAAAACTGAAGAAACAAGGAAAATATTAGTCCAGAGGACTGATGGACCACGTGAACCACAGCCTCCTGCAGCCTGAGCCCAGAAGAACTATATGGTGCCAACTACCACCACCTACCGCTTTCAGTGGGATCACAATAGAGGGTCCTGGACAGAGTGGGAGAAAAATGTAGAACAAAATTCAAATTCATAAGGAAAGACCAGACTTACTGGTCTGACAGAGATTGGAAGAACCCCCGAGACTATGGTCCTTGGACACCCTGCTTACTCAGAACTGAAGCCACTCCTGAAGTTCACCTTTCAGCCGAAGGTTAGACGGGTCTATAAAACAAACAATAATACACGTGAGGAACGTGCTTCTTAGTTCAATCAAGTGTCTGAGAACAAATGGGCAGCATCTGCCCAAAAGCAAAGACGAGAAGGCAAGAAGGGACAGGAAAACTAGACTAATGGACTTGGAGAACCCAGGGTGGAAAGAGAAAGGTGGAGAATACTGATACATTGCAGAGATTGCAACCAATGTCAGAAAACAATTCGCGAATAAAAGTTTTGAATGAAAAACTAATTTGCAAAAAGAAAATATGTAGAGCTATAAGTCTTCTGAGCTGCCTTTAAAACTCAGTTAACTTTTTTCTTAACAAATTTGTAGGATTGGATCCTCTAGTTTTTTCACAGGAGAGCAACGATGATTTTTAAGCATAATGAATGGTTCCACTACAAACATCTGCTATGTTCTCGAAAAGTAAACAATTAGGAAAAACATAGGTCATGATTTTGTGTGTATTGATACAAAAGAACTCTTGGCAGAAAGGCAAACACATCCAAGAGAGTTTAAGCAGGGGATCATAGGTTCTTGGATTGCACAGTATAATCAAGATTATGAATAGCAGGTGATTACTGTACCAGAATAATACTGTCACATCAGAGCAGATAACAATGGTTTTTTGATTAATGAATTTTTCTACGAAAAATGGTATATTACACAACAATGACCTAAGCTCTATCTTCTATTATTATTATTTTTTAACTGAAAAAGTAACAAAGAGACTTTGGGTCAAGATGATCAGTAAATTGAGGTTTTCGTGTACCCCTCTGCTCCTAACACAAAGAAATGACAGAAATATAAAAATAGAAAACCCACAAGACATATCAGGGCTCTAAAAAATGTATATATTTCTATGAAGTTAACAAAAATGCAGAGCAGGGGGCAGGAAGTGAAGCTACAGGTTTGTCGGTTTGTGAAAGGAGGAGTTCTGATAAAGGTTCCCAGGGGTCAGAGCCAGGTCATGTTTTGGAAATCCCTTTTAAAATTCTGATCACTCTTTTAGATTGTTTCCTCATTGCTGTCTGTTTTTATGTTACGGTAACCGTATCTCTTGAATCTCTCTGAGCATACTCACTAAAAGGGTGTGTGTGTGAGTGTGCATGTATGCCTTATTTATTTTTGGATTTTTTAAATCATCTTCTGTTTCTACAATTATTACTCTTTATTTAACCCCGTGGTGATTTTCTGTTTATTTATCTTGGATTTTCTCCTTTACGTTGCTTGTTTTCCTCATACGCCCGGTTGTCTTAGGTTGTTTGTTCAGCTTTAAGAATGCAGGACTGTGAGACGGGTGTGGGTTTCCTCTGATGCTAAGGTTAAGTAGATTTAAGTAGGTTGGTTCTTCTGTGATTCTCTGTGGAGTGGCAAATCAGGCTGGGAGCATTTTGTACTTGGGTGTCAACTGTTAGATTTCAGTTTAGAGGGAGTGGGTAGGGAGCCAGGCAGGGAACCTCCCAAACGCTGAAGGGGAGGAAATGTACTGTGGAGCACTGACATTCACCCTAGAAGCCTTAAAGGTCTCCGTAAGGCTCTGTTCACCTTTTTAAGGAAACAGCCCCATGGTTTTTTTTGCAGGAGGGAAAATTCTGGTTGCCTGCCTTCCGTAGAAAGGGTGAAGGGAGGCAGTGAGATGCCTGCTTTGTACGTTCCACATCACACTTTCGCTAAATTCTTCGGACTCAGAGTCTCTAGGAAGTTTCAGAGAGGAATCTGACTCTCTGCTCCTCTCTTATTAAATAGATGATCAGAAACTAATGCATTATGACAATATTATCTTCGTTTCCAACCAAAACGATGAAACTTCACAGATTTAGATAGAATGTTATGCTCTCGGCTTTCATAGAAGAACAATTTAAAAATATTTACCACTTAAAGGACATTTTTGAGATCTTTTGTCAAATTTCCTATTGTAACACCCCAAGCCCTTTATATAAAATCCACCAATAGAACCCAGTTAACTAACTGGTGTGGAGTCTAATGACTCACCCAGCTAATACAGTTACCTCGCAAGTAAGTGTACTTGATCAGGAGGCCAAGTGGGAGAACCATACTGGAAATTCAAGCTCACTGTTACTGTTAAAAAATAACTCCTCATACAGTCTCCTCCGCTGGTTGGTTAGCTGCATTATTTTTATTTATGAAACTACATCCCTGTTAGTAAATTGTTTAGTCTCTCTGCTTGCATAGAGCATAATCATAATTTTAAAAAATTGGGGAAGACAGCCATGCAACTGAATTGTGGATGAGACAGAAAGCACCTTCAGGCAAAAATACCATGTTTGCTATGAGGTTGGAGTAAAAAAGCAAGCTTGATTAACATCCTCACTTTTCTATATTAAGCAAGAGAAATGCCATTGACTGCACACAGCACAACCTCGTAAAAGCAACTTCCTCTTTCTGGTGTCATTTCTTTTTCACACCTAATATTATCTGTTCCACTGGTAGTGTCCTTTATCACAACTGAAGGTCACATCAAAACCACAACTCTGGCAAGGGAAAGACAAAAGGTGGGTGAGTCATCATGATATACAGCCTCTCTAAAGGAGCTTTGGACATTCCCCCACTCACTATAATTTGGATAGAGTATAGGCAGCATGCCGGAAATCTTGGGTTAGGATATCTCAATATCAAACCCTACTACACCAAAATGAAGGTACATTTTCCTGGGAGTCAGTTCGACAGGAAATGGAGGAACCCATCCCTTCCCCTCCAATTACTGGTGAAGAGGTAAAGATATTTTACAAAAAAACCACATTTCAGAAGGCTTAGCATGGTACAGTTTTCGTAAAGAATTTGGAATTTACATCTCTACCATTTGCCAGTTGGGTGACGTTGGGCAAATTACTTAAACTCATTAAGCTTCAAGTCCCTCATCTATAAAATAGGGATAATTTCTTCCTTATAAAATTATTATATTGCAAACATTCTATACTATAACACCTCATATCATACACATCATACATATAAAAACTTCATAATCTTTGCAACGTAGTAATTTTATATATGTGTAATATGTGTGTATGTGTGTAGTATGTGGCACAGAGGTGGCTTAACTAATAGACCAAGCAAGTGTTTGGGGCATAAGCAAAATGAGGACCCCCAAAATGAGAACAATAATTCGGTAAAATTATTTCATTTTTCAAAATAAAATTATTGAAGTAGTCATCTTGATTAAAAAAATAAGCTTAATTGTTCTTTCTTACTTTTTTAAAAATGCTTTTTGTTGCTTTATTACCCTATTTTGAATTAAATACAGGAGTTAGCACCATCAACTTTTCAGTGCTTAGCTACTCTAAGGGCATTTATCTACCTCTCTTTTCCTCCTCCTTCTGTACTGAGAATTGCACTGCAACACAAACCCCCCAACCACTTTACTATTGGGCATATCCGATTATTTTAATAAATTCATGCTGTCATACTTAGCTTGCATTTGATTTATAATAAATTTTCCCCTTAAAGTAATTCAAGACTATGCATTTCTATGTCTATCATGCTTATTTTTTACCTCTGTCTTTTTAGTTTACAATTTTCTGTACTGTTTAGTGTACCATTCAGCTCCTAGACCCCAGTGACTGATAGACTTTTCTGGCCTGTTTTGTGAAGGAAGACTATTTAAAAAAGGTAGAAAGTCAATCAATCCCAAATGCGTAGCTGAAAAACTCTAAAAATGTAATGTGACTTACAGGTTTTCCGCTCTTTGAATATTCTGTTATGGGCACGAATTGATGTACAGCAAAACACACTAGGTAAGTGCTCATGGGGACAGACTTCTGGAAAGTTGTTCGATTCCATTTATCATCCACCGACTCTTTTTTCTGTGGAGAACAGAAGACAATTTTTTATTCATCAAAAGGATCAATCATGTACAAACAAAGAAATATTTGCCTCAAATCTGGCTTTTCTAGTTAGAAGTCCTTTGTCAAAGCTTAGGAGGAAAATGTTTGTGGTGATGTTGAAAAGACTAAAGGAAAAGTCATTTTATTTTCAGTGCTGTGAAGCATTTTTGCAGTTATAAGAGTGGTTAAATTGTATTAGGGTCCTCAGGGAGAAATAAAATTTTGATTATGATATAAACTGGGCAGGAATTTATATTTCTACACTAAATACATGATCCTGACCATAGCATTTGAGAGAATACTGATCCCTTAATGATGAATAGACTAGTGCTCAATGCCTTGCACCCAGCAAGGACTAAATAGGTATTGTTGACTTGACTATAGGTAGGAGGGCAATAGCTGTATCAGGTAAAGCAGGGTGTTGCCTTCTCTTTTCCAACTCTGGTTGTCTACACAAAAGAACCACGGTGTGGTCATTAACACCACTGCCTTGGTTACCACGGAGAGAGAGAGGGATTCCATTGCCTGACTCTACTGTCCCAATCTGATTTCCTATTCATGCCAGCACTGCCCTCCTCATGCCAATCACCACTCTAATACTTCAACCATGAATACTTACTTGCCCAACTCCTGCCACCACTGTTCAAACATTTCCACGTCGCCTGTAGTCAATCTCTAAGTCACACTATAATGGAAAGCTTTAAAAAGGGATGGAATGAGAGAGGCTGGCCTAGATTTGATGCTTCAGGGACAAGGCATGCATGTGTGCGCATGTGCTTGTATAAAAGTGTCGGGGCTCCAGCGAGGTTGTTACTCTATGATAAGAACCTAGTAATATTTGTTTTGGCCTCCTAATGACCCAGAAGATTCTCCCTCTTCCAGGACTATTATCTAGATAAAGAACAGAACATCTAATTAAAGGAATTATACTCTGTAAAATGAAAAGGTCATGTGGGGAAGTCTTAAACAGAAGTTGGCAAAGCTTGCCTTCTTTCTTTTCCCATCTTCACTCGTCCTCCAATCCATGCCAAAATATTCTAATGACATTTAACCCTGATCCAATCTCCCAGAATGGTGTGTTATGCTTTAACTTCATCCTTTCCTCCTTCTTCTCTAATCAAAACTCCATCTGTCAGGTGCCTCACACCAGAAGAAAACAAGTTGGTAAACGAATTCAGACTGAGACGCGGATGCCCGCTGACAGCTTATGTTTTAACCCTCAAGTTTTATTTTTTTCTACCGTTTTTCCCCACTGCTTTTAAAAACAATATTTACAATGAAAAGAGATGGCTTTCAATGATTTTTCAGAAAGTGGATCAGAATGACAGAAGTATAGTTTTGAGCAGGATGTCTTTTGAGTATTACATAGTTGAAAATTATGCCCAAGTATAAGCCTGATCCTTTGATATGTCAAATGTATAAAGTGTAATAAACCTCAAACTTCAGGCAATGATACTTTAGTTAAATACATTACCCATTATGGGGATGAGGAGCAATAACAGAAGAAAAAGACTCTATGTTAATTAACAATTATACAGATAGAACTTACTGTAACTTTTTTTTTTTTTTAACATTTAACAAGCACTTCCTGTTCACGAGAAAATCTATGGGCATGGGGTTCTCTGGAGTTGGCTTCTATACTACACCCAGAGTTTAATTTTTTTTTTTTTTTAAACCATAGGTCTATATTCAAAAACTGAGTTTTTATTCAACTGCAAACAAAGAATAGTGACTAGGCCCTTAGAAATTTTAGTTTGCCATTAATTTGTCGTGACTGGAAGATTCTTTAAGTTAAGCTCAGTCCAGCTGATGTATATCCATTGTAGTCACAATTGTTTAGAAACCCCAGAGTGGCTTTTTGACTGGACTGTGATCTCTTGGGTTAAAGAGTTCTCAGACTCGGGGCGGGGTGGGGCGGGGAGAGAGAGAGATAGCCAAAATATATTCTAATTCTCTAAATAAACTTGCAGTGCACTTTAAATTTTAAAATCCAGTGGCTTCTCTTCCATAGTAAATCATTGTAAATTGACTATCTGTATAAATGAAAAAATTTCAAAACTACTCACCTCCACTGGCATATTTGAAAGTGCTTCATAGTCATTGAGGTGGATGATAGATATATTGTAAGTCGCCTTTTTGTTGGGTTCATCAAAACAAGGGAAGGATTTCCTGGCATCTGTTGGTTCATGATCAGTGGCTGCTATGCTCCTTAGAAACAAATACACAAACAAACAAATCTATGTTGCCTCTTCTGACAGCCCCTATGTTTCTATTGTTACAGGGAAAAAGACTCATGTAATTAAAAACAGCTATTGCATTTCTTAAAATGAGTTTGCATTTAGAAAAATGTCAAATAATTGTCAAAGTCTTTCCTGGAAAATTTATGTTAACAAATAAATGACCACTTTGAGGATGCTTCAGATATTTTATTCTAATACTTAGATATTTTGGTACCATAATGAAAATCTGTGAACTGTAGAGGAGCAAAAATAAGTCCAATTAAGAGGTATCACTCTGTCCACCTCAAAGTTACAGAGCAACAAGCACAAACACAAAGCCAAATGCAAAGGCTTGTTTCTAAATGTCCTTGGAGAAGTGAACAGCTGTGTTCTGTCACAGAGTAGAGGAGTACATTCCAGAGTCCCTAGCTCCTGTCTCTAATGGCACTTTCTTCCTTGTTTATGTTACACCAGGGACAAAACCCTCAGTTTCATTTCCATGCAAAAGCAGTGTCTGTGTAACCTCCCAGGTGAAGTGAGCTTTGGCAAGGTTCAAAGCCCACTTTTGAACAGAGACAGTAGCATTCTAACCTGGTGGTATAATGGTTAGATGCTTGGCAGCTAACCAAAAGGCTGGTGGTTCAAACCCACCAGCTGTTCCATGGGCGAAAGATGTGGCAGTCTGTTTCCGTAAGGATTACAGTCTAGGAAAGCCTATGGCGCAATTCTACTTTGTTACATTAGGTCACTATGAGTAGGAATCAGCTCAATGGCACACAGCAACAACCAGGCATGTTTTTTGTTCTGTTGTACATAGGGTGGCTAGGAGTTGGAACTGACTCGATGGCGTCTAGCTACAATAACAAAAATGTTAATATTTCCATCATTTCAAAGTGAAAATTTTTTTCTACATACTAGTTCAAAAACCAAGGAATACATCACTCTTGACATGTAAGTATATCAAAGCAAGACAATGTTGTTGTAAATTTACTCATTAGAAAAGTAAGCCAAATAAAAAGTATAAAAGAAAGGAAGACTAAAGAAATGTTGACTTATATTCACTAATGATTTGTCCGAGGAATATTTTCCTTTCAGGATTCTCAAGGAGTGAGGAAGGCAAATCATAAAGTAATCCAGGCTAAATTACAAGATTCTTTCATGCATCCATCAAATATTTATTGATTCATCCCCTCCTCACCCAACACACACACACACACACACACACACACACACGCATTTGCCAGGCATTTTTCTAGGTTCTGAGGAAATAACAGAGGTCCTATAGATTAAGCACCTGGTTCCTTACCAGGTGGTAGAAAATAAACATGTGAACAAATAATTTAGGAGAGTGAAGAGGGTTGTAGAGAAAATAAAACACAGGAAGTGACACAGAATGAGGAAAAGTGGGGAGCAACATTAGGTACTTAGGTAGAGTAGTCAAAGACGATGTCTCTGTGTAGGCGATGGTTTACTGAGATCTGAATAATGAGAAAAAACCAGATGGGCAAAGATTAAGAAAAATGTATTCTAGCAGAGAGAACCGGAAGTGTAATGTCCTTGAGGTGGAATAAAAACTTGGTGTGCTTGAGGAACTGAAAGGTGTCCAGTGTGGATAAAGGATGGTGAAGAAGTGGGTCTGGACAAAAGGCAAGACCAGCAGAGGCCAGATTAGGATGATGCTGTAGTCCATGATAAGAGTCTTTATGTTAGTTTGGCTCAAGGAAACATTACATATGTTAGTTTATCTCAGAAGTAATACATCATATGTCAACATCCACCCACAAGAAATTACAATATTACAATTTTTTTGGAAAAACACTCTGGATGTAAAAATTGCTTGTTAAAATCTCGGCCAAGAAAGCTAATCTATATAAAAAAAAAAAGTGGCTGCCTTATGGGGAAGTGATGATGAAGGAAAGGAACTTTTTGGGGTGATTGAAAAATTATATATCTTGATAAGGATGTGTGTTACAAAGATGTGTGCATTTTGCCAAAATTCACTGAATTACGTCCATCATATTTGTACAGTTCAAAGTATATAAGTTTTACCTAAATATAACCATAAAAAATTGAACTCCATCTAGTAAGTAGGTTTGTCTTTTTGCAGATATATGCTTTAGCAATTATAAAGCAACCTCTCTGTACTCCAGATTTGAGCAAATGAGAAAAATATATTGAAGATAGTGGAATCCAAACTTCTCACTGTTGGGGAAGGGAGTTACAAATTTGGAAAAGGCGAAGACTAGAATGTACCCTGTGGTAATGAACTGTAATTGCATATGCCAGTGTGGATGCAATGATTTTTAATATAGATATAGATAGATAGATATAGAAACACACACAAAGAGATATATTTTCTAGCTCTGTATGCTGAAAGGGACTAGAAGCAATGACAAGCTAGTAGCAATAAGCACAGCTAGCTCCCAGATGTTGATTTCTAAATACCATTCTCCACTGAAAGGAATCAGAGCTCCTGAGAGAAGGGGCTGATTCTAGGGCTGGGGCAGAGAAAGTGCAAGATGATCCTGGAACATCTTGCTGTGCCCAAAATTAAAGCAGTGCTAAAAAAAAAAAAAAAAAAGGAATAAGTCAAAAGGACACAGGAGCCAGTCTGAGGGGATTATCATTGGCCATAGCCGGGGGAATTTGAACATCAAAATAAACAATGAGATTATCATCCACTGAATAAATAAGAATCCATGCATCCTGACTGATATTTTTAAAAAAATGAATAAATACATGGTGAAGAAGGTAAGGGTTTTCCTTACTGTAGATTGTCTACTAACCATTTTAGAAGGAATGATGGATTTGGAAGATCAACAGTGGATGCTAAACCAAGTGGGTGAAAATTTGATAAGGAAAGGTATTTACATAGTTTCAAAGAATCTCTCTGAAGATTATTTAAAAAGGAAAATAAAATTGTAACTTTACAATGGAGAAACCTGTTGGATACCACCCTAATCAAATGATAAAAGCTAACATCACTAATAATAGTAAAAATTAGCATGATGTATCTCCTCATGTGGTTTCCCAAGAGGGACAAAATATCACTTTTGATATCCCCGGCAAAAATGCTTAACTTGCATTTTTAAATCAAGAGGAAAGTTAGACGAACTAAAATTGAGGGACAGTCTCAAAATAACTGGTCTGCACTCTTCAAAAATGTCACGGTGGAGAAAGACAAAGAAAGGCTAAGGGACGGTTCCAGTTTAAAGGCATCTGAAAAGGTGTGACAACTACATGCATGATTCCAGAATGGATACCGGACTGGGTAAAAATAGCTAAAAGGAACATCATTGGTTAATTGGTGAAATTTGATTATGGACAGTGGAATAGATAATACTATTATATCAATGCTCAATTTCCTGATTTTGGTAACTGTACTGTGGTTATGAGGGGCCAGTGTTGGTTCAGTGATAGGATTCTCACCTCCCACATGGGAGACCTAGGTTCAATTCTTGGCCAATGCATCTCAAGCACTGCCACCACCTGTCTGTTAGTGAAGGCTTGCATGTTGCTATGAGGTTGAACAGGTTTAAATGGACCTTTCAGGCTAAGACAGACTAGGAAGAAAGGCCTGGTGATTACTTCCAAAAATCAGCCAGTGAAATCCCTCTGGCAGCTAACAACAACAATAACAACTGTGGTTATATCAGAGAATGACCCTGTTCTTAAAAACTATACAACGAGTTGGGGTGGGGCCAAAATGGTAGAGTAGTCAGATGCTTCCAGCAGTCCCTCTTACAACAAAGACCTGAAAAAAACAAGTGAATCAATTATACATGATAATCTAGCAGCCCTGAACATCAAAGGCAAAGTTGAAGAATCAGACTGAGTGGCAGGGGAGGGAGAGACGGTTCAGCAGCAGCATGGAGTTGCCAGACCTGAGTTGCTGGGAGCCAGAGCCCTTCGGGCTAGATCAGCTCCTGATGAGCAGTGAGGCAAGCAGCAGCACTCAGGAAGCATTTTCCACATTGGGAGAGACCCAGTGACAGAGTTTACTCGGCCATCCAGAACCAGTGAGGAGCAGCCCTCGATTGAAGAGAGAGAAGTACTTGCATCTGGCTTACCACCTGGATCAAAAACACCCCCCTTTAGGAAAAACTTCTCTCCCATTTACCTCCCTGCTCCCTGCTTTGCACTGGGTCAGGGACGGCTTCAGCGATTGCCGAGTCCCCTGGGCCCAAAGTAGGACCTGTGACATGCCCTGAGCCTTTCTCCTGGCCTTGGAGAGTGAATAAATTAACAAATGGGAAAAAATAATCCGCTGGCTCCCCAAGCCAGGAACTCAGGGTAGGCACAGCTCCTTTGCCTAGGCACAGGCATAAGGGGTCCACAGACTTTGAGTGCTTTTCCCTCTACAGAGACTTGTGTGGGCCCATTTCAACAGAGTAGGCCCTCATTACCGCAGTACAAGAGGGAATATACCTGAAGTCTAACTTCAACTGTTTCAGCTGTGAAGTGGCAGGTTCCTGACACTTGACACTGCTCTGCCCATTAAGCAGGGTCTTCACGTACCCACATCAGGGGCCTGAGCACTGGTGGCTCCACCCATGCCACCTAGCCACCTGTGACACGGGCCCAAGAATAAGTGGTGACCCCCAGTCCTATAGCTAACAGCACTGTGTGCTCACAGTCCAGCTGCAAAACCCACCCACCTACGCACTCTAGGGAACAGGGATACACTTTCCTCCCAGACACTCAGGGGCAGCTGTTGGTCCCCTGCCTTGCTCAGCCTGTGTCCCCCTGCTGCAGCCAGATGCCTGTGCCTACACAAATCACTCATGCCTGTCTAGAACTGTAGGTAAGAGTCTGCACCACACACTTGGTGGGTGACTATCTGGACACCTGAGCTGAATCCATACAGGAGGAGTGGGCAGACTCTGGGCTCACATACTTGGTAGCAGGACTGGCCACCTGGGGACAGGACCTTGGAGCTTCGAGGGTGCTGGTGACTGGGCTACCTCACACGAGCTGCCTAGTTGGGCA